AGACAGTCTCACTCTGTCACCCAGCCTGGAGTGCAGTGGCATGATCTCAGCTCACTACAATCTCTGCCTCCCGGGTTCAAGCACTTCTCCCACCTCAGCCTCCTCAGCTGGGATTACAGGTGCACACCACCATATCCAGCTAATTTGTTTGTATTTTTAGTAGAGATGGGGTTTCACCATGTTGGTCAGGCTGGTCTCGAACTCCTAACCTCATGATCTGCCTGCCTTGGCCTCTCAAAGTGCTGGGATTACAGGGATGAGCCACCTCACCTGGCCTAATTTTGTATTTTTAGTAGGGACAGGGTTTCCCTATGTTGGTCAAACTGGTCTTGAACCTCTGATCTCAGGTGATCCGCCCACCTTGGCCTCCCAAAGTGCTGGGATTACAGATGTCAGCCACCACACCTGGCCATTATTCCTTTCTTAAATGTTTGGTTGAATTAGCCTGTTAAGCATTTGGGACTGGAAATTTTCTTTGGGGGAATGTTTTATGAATTAAATCATATTAATATTTTCTTTTTTTCCGGTTTTGATAAGGTTTATTTTTCTAGGAATTTGACCACTGTATCTAATTTCCAAATGTATTGGCGTAAGTTTATGATAGTCTTTTATCTTCTTAATATCTTTAGCTATGTAGTCACATGTGCCCTTTTTCATTCCTGATTATTTGTGCCTTCTCTCACTTTTTTTTTGCCTGCAGTTTCACTAGTAAAATTACCAATTCATTAGTCTCTTCAAAGAGACAATTTTTGGCTTTGTTAATCTTCACTAATGTTTGTTTAGTGAAGATTAACAAAGTCAAAAGTCAAGTACTCCATTATTTCATTAGTTCCTTCACTATTTCATTTATTATTTAATTTTTTCTTCTTTTGGGGTAATGTTTAGTGAAGATTAGCAAAGCAAAAGTCAAGTACTTCATTATTTCATTAGCTTGTTCACTATTTCATTTATTATTTAATTATTTCTTCTTTGGGGGTAATCTGTTATCTTTTTAACATCTTTAGATGAATATTTAGTATATTGATTTTTAGCTTCTTTTCTTTGATAATATATGCATTTAACATTATATATGTATTTCTAAGCTTATCTTGACTTGCACTCCACATTGAGCTCAGAATGTTTCCTAATCTTCATTGTGACTTTTTTTTTTTGACTTGTGAATAACATAATTATTTTACTTACAGGACATGGGGGATTTATTTTTGTTTCATCAATTTTTATTGCATTGTGATCAGTTAACATACTATGTCTGATTTTAGTCCTTTTGAAGGTATTGAAACTTGCTTTTTGGCTTAGAATAAGGCAAATTTTCATAAATATTACAGAAGTACTTGAGAAGAATATGCATTCTGCAATCGTTGGGCATTGTTAATCTTGTTGTTCAAATCTACATTTTTAACTTATCTTGGAATTGTTTTTGTTATATCACTAATTTATAAAGTGATGTTAAAATCTCCCACTGTGACAGATCTCCAGTCTGTCACCCAGGCTGGAGCACAGTGGCACAATCAGGGGTCACTGCAGCGTTGACCTCCTGGGCTCAAGCAGTCCTCCCACTTCAGCCTCCTGAGTAGCTGGTACCACAGGCGCACACCACCATGCCTGGCTAATTTATGTATTTTTTGTAGGGAAGGGGTTCTTCGCCACATTGTCCAGGCTGCTCTCAAACTCTCGGGCTTAAGTGATCTACTGGCCTTGGCCTTCCGATGTGCCGGGATTACAGGTGTGAGCCACTGTGCCTGGCTCTACTATAATTTTGGATTTTTCTTACTTCTCCATGAAGTGCTGATAATTTTTGCATTATAAATATTGAAACTGTTTTATTATTAAGTGCATACAAACGTAGAATTGTTATATCATCCTGGAGAACTGCTCTTTTAATCATTGTTACCTCTTTTTATCTCTTCTAATGAGTTTTGTCTTAAAGTCTACCTTGATATTACTATAGCTACACCAGCTTTCTTTTGATTAATATTTACATGGCATCTCTTTTACTATCTTATTTTTAATCTGTGTCTATTTTAGATATGTTTCTTGTAAGCAGCATATGGTTAGATAATTTTAAAATCCTTTCTGATAGTCTTTGTCTTTTAATTTCATTATTTAATTCATTTATTAATATAATTACTATTTTGGTAAAAATCTACCACTGTGCCTTTTATTTATCCTTCCTCCTCTGTGTTCTTTTTTCTCTCCTTTTTTACCCTTTTTTGGATCCATTGGGTATTTTTTCTTTTTCTGTTGTTTTCTCCACTAATTTAGAAGTTATAGTTTTACTGTTTTTTTAGTGGTTATTCTAGAGAGTACATGCACCCTCATATTAATTGGTGCTTTTATCCCTTTCCCAGACAATGTAAGAACTCCACTGAATCCTTTTTAATTTATATGCTATTGATGTTGTATATTTTAATTATCTGAATACATGATTTTTAAGTAAGGTTGCATTTTTATTGCTCAGCATTTATACAGTGGAAATGTAAGGGCTTTTTTTCTGTTTGTTTTTTGTTTTTTTCCTGTTTCAACATTGTAGTACATGTGAAGTATTAAGATGATGACTGATCGGGCGTGGTGGCTCACACCTGTAATCCCAGAACTTTGGGAGGCTGAGGCGGGTGGATCACGAGGTCAGGAGATCAAGACCATCCTGGCTAACATGGTGAAACCCTGTCTCTACTAAAAAATTAGCCAGGCACTGTGGCAGGCGCCTGTGTTTGGGAGCCTGAGGCAGGAGAATTGCTTGAACCTGGTAGGCAGAAGTTGCAGTGAGCCAAGATTGTGCCACTGTACTCCAGCCTGAGTGACAGAGCGAGACTACATCTCAAAAATAAAAAGATGAATGACTGTTTCTTATTTATGTAAATTTGTGCTTGTAAAACAAAGATTGACAGAGCTTTCTGGATTAGATACACTTCAAAAATTTTCTTTAGAGATTACATAAAAAACTAAACCACACACACACTAACATACACACATATTTCTGATATATAATTTGTTCTGCCTTTGGTTTTCAAGTTCTCCCTCCTCTCACGATTATCAGTTGGCTGTTTTCTATTTCTGTGCTTTTGGCTTCCTTTTTCACTAAGGCTTTTACTTCCCTGTACTTGTTATCTCCTTCTGCCTCCTTTGCTGCAACCTCTGCTGTCTACAATTCTTTCTCCACTTTTTCAACTTGTTTCTTTTTACTTCTTAGGTTTTACTCAGAAAGTCCATATTTTAATAAAGAAAGCTAATCAAAATGTTCAGGTTTGCAAAGCAACCAGTCACAGTGGATGGTGTATTGAGTATTTGACTTTTTTGGCTGTGTTTGTTGCTTCTTGCCATTAAAAAGGTTTTGCCACTCAGAATAATCTTAGTTACTTAAGAACACCAGAAGGCTAGTCTCTGGATAAATGAAAATTGACTGTATTATTAAAGTAGTTGTGATTTTGGTCAATGTAAAATTCATTTTTAATCAAAATCTAAATGTCCTGAAAGGCTCTGTTTTTAAAAGTTTCATCTCTCTTCTATACAGAATGAAAAAATAATAGAACAACAACTTCTTGTGGATCAACTGAGTGAAGAACTAACAAAACTTAACCTGTCAGTGACTTCTTCAGCTAAGGAAAATTGTGGAGATGGCCCAGATGCCAGGATCCCTGAAAAGAGACCATATACTGTACCATTTGATACTCGTTTGGGGCATTATATTTATATCCCATCAAGACAAGATTCCAGGAAGGTAAAGTTCAAACATTAATCTTTTTCTTATTTTGAGATTTAAAAAAATTTAGCTATATATAACGTCACAGTATATTTTACAGTCTCAGCAGATACTTATCAGTTTGGTTTTATGAAATTTTGTATATATCTTTTAAGCATATTTCTGTCTAATAAAAAACAAATGAGAATACATAGTTATATTTGGAGGGAATAGTTGGATGGATCTAATGTCTACACTTCATCAATGTGAAAAAGTTATTTGCTGTGATATTTTCAGGTATGACCTTGTTTAATATCTACATGAATTTATTTCTTCCTTTAACCACACAAAGTTGAGATGTTAGAGGGTATTTATTTCAGCTTATTTGGTCTGTCATTATTTTTGAAATAATATTTATATGTTATTCAGTCTTACCAAGTAGACATAATTAAGACTATATAAATATCAATATGAATTTTAGTTTGTGTGTGGTTGGTAAATATATACACACACACAGATATAAGAATCATCAAGGAATCTCTATTATGGAAAAGACTTAATTAGCAGATTCATGAGTTTTGTTTTAGCGGGTTCATGAATTCTATTTC